TAATAAATATTTTTTGGGAATAGTAAATTTAAGTGTTAAATATAAAGAGTTTGTTGGAGTACATCAAAATTTTAACTCTTTAAATTTATAGATGCTCTCCAAATGATAGAATATGCTCTTTAAAAATAGAGAGTCTCTTGGAGATGCTCTTATAAGTCAAACAGAGTACTTTTAAAGAGTTAATCTTAGAATCAACTTTTGACTTTTCAGAAGTCTAGCAAAAATGGTCCTTAGCATTGAGTCACAGACTTCCATTTCAAAATGTTCTGTGTGATTGTATGAATTTTTCTATCATTTGAGGTATGAGAATATTTTTTTTTTTGTAAAATATTTAATTTAGTATTCATAATACCAAGTTAAAAAATTCCTTGAAAAAACAGGTAGTTGTATTTCATATGATAGAATTCCAAGCTAAGTGGGTGGCACGCGTTTTATCTGGTAAGGTGCTTCTACCATCAGAAAATGAGATGTCGACTGATATTGAAAAGCATTATCAACGTTTGGAGGAAGCAGGCAAACTCAAACACCACACTCATAACTTGCTTTTCGACGAGGTTTTGGTATTGCCCTCTATTTTCAATTGCGCGTATGCATATGTATGTAGTAGTGTTTTAAAAAGTGTATCTATGCCGTCCCTAGGTGTGAAGGCACGGGCAAAGCACTTTGCCTGGATTGTAAGCAAGAATTAAGCGGTCAACTGTTAACTACTTAATGCATGACTGTCACGCTTTATTAAATTTTTTTCTTGTTTTTTAAAAACATTTTGTTTGACTTTAGTTTATTAACTTTTGTTATTATTATTTTCTTTTTTAAAAGGCTTTTATTTGACTTTAGTTTCAAATTTTTAAATGAATTTATTGTACAAAAGTAAAAAATGATGTTATCCGATAAAGATGTAAATAAAATTTAAGCTACAATATTATCTATATTATGTAATTATGATTTTGAAATTTATCATTTTTGTTGGAAATTTCGAAAGTATATATAAAGTTTCTATAAATTTGTTAAGTTGGACTTGTGAAATTATGAAAAATAGTCTAGCTTTTCCATTTCGGAAAATTTGAAAATTGTATAATTGATTAGTTATAGAAATTATTAAGTAAATATAGTATTTTATAATTTTAGATGTTTGGTATTTATTATTTTAATTATTAAACAAGTTTTAGAATGATTAATATTCTAAATAATAATAAAAATAAGTAATAGATTTTTACATTTAGGCTCGTAAAACTTGAAACTTAACCTTTATCTAGTCACACTTTACGTTTTTTAGTACACTATATAATGTGTACATTGGTCATCTTATTAGGGTAAATTTGGGTTTCTTGGCAGTTTGAGCACCAAGACTGGCTAGCTGCCCAGGTGGGAGAGCCAAGATTGGATGAGGAGCTTAAAGAAATGTCTAGAACCCTTCTCAAATTTCTTACTGATAAAGGGTGGGCCAGGTTCAGAGAATTGTTGGTGGAAAAGGATGGATGTTTGGTACATTCCATTGGATTGAATTGAAAAATATACATTTTAACTTTTTTTTTAAAATTATTATGCAGTTTATGAAACAACTCTTGGTAATTCAATAATAATTACTCTTGACATAAAAAAATCTCTTACAATTGAGATTTGTAAAAACACTAATGTTGTTCTAATGTGACTTTGGTTTGGGTTTCAAAGTTTACTGTCCTTTCTTCAAGTTTCACTTTTATCCATTTATGAAACCCTACATGAAAAGCATTTAAAATAAATATGGTTTTTCACATGACAAAGCATATTGATTATAAAATATGAATGAAAATGTTTATTTGTTTATCACCATTTTAAGTTTATAGACGAGATAGTTCGATTTACATTATGCTTCCGTTAAGTAAATTATGACTGCCTTCTCACTTTCACATATTAGTGATGAATAATAACATTATGAAATCGATAGATAAAAACAAAGGTTTTCGAAAAAGTCCATTGAACAATCACTCAAGTTGAACCTTCTCTATTACTCATATTTTTTGCGACGTTAATAATGTCGCTTTGCATGTTCATAAAATGGGTCAAAAAGTGAATAAAGATTGTAATTCCCAATTAAAAATAGAATTTGATCAATTTGGTGAATTGAGAAATATGATCCAAATTACACTACACTAAAATCAGTGTTCAAAAAAATTAACAAGCACTGATTTTGTTAATCTCTCATAAACGATATCACTCACAACAGTCAAAAACAGTAAAAAGTAACTCCAAGACAAATTTTATGGGAAATGTTATTAACGTGTCCAATCTTTCATTTCATTTAAACATTCATTCCTAACCTTTTTTCCGTATGTCTCGGCCTTGAGAAAGGAAGGAAGAATTTGTGGAACATCTTGAAATATTGTTATAGGATTTTGATTGATTGATCAACTTCCATTTCCATAATCTTCATTGGCCTATGGATTCAATTTTTATATGTATACGTGAATCTATATCCATGTGCATGTCTTGGGGGTGAAAACGGGCTGAGCCAGCCCATCAAAACTATCGCCCTGTTTGGGAAAACTTCCATTAGGTACTGCATTAGTTTAAAACATAATTGTCAGACCCGACTTGAACATCGACTCGAATAATGCAATGGGTCAACGGGTCAGTGGTTCGACCGGTGACCCGGTGGTTGGACCTGCGGATCAATTCTTGTTAAATATATTATTATCTATTTATTGAATATAATGAAATATGGATTTGAAGTAATTAACAACCACCAATCAAAAACAAATTTATGTGGCAAAAATAAACAAGATAGATTTTTATACTATAAGAATATTCTTGCAAAAATA